ATCTATTGAGGAGTTCACATTTGATGAGTTAAAAAGTGACGACAGGATGAGAATAAATTAGCGGTGCTTGATACAGTTGTTTGGCTGTAGCAATTGCAATCAAATTAAAATTAACCTTTATCACACTTCAAGTAAAAGTTAAACCAGATCGACTAAATCTAATTAGAAGAAGTAATACATTAATTTATTCTAAAAGCATTTCATATGTACAACAGAAGGGCCTGATTCCTCGTACTCTTCCTTTGTAATCCACATCTGCAAGAAAATCAGAAAACAAAAACCTTAACCCCTCAATTACTACGAAAATGATATAATTATAGTATTAGATGATAATAAAAATTTAAAATATAATTGTGTAATTATATAATTAATTTTTTTTATTCAAATATCTATACATAATATTGTTGTATGTGTAATAATTTAATGATATATTATAATTATAAATTTACAATTTTATATAATATTATAATTATAATAATGCAAGAATTAATATGCTGCCTTAGTTTCTACATATTTTGCGTTGTGAAATGGAAAATTACCTGTTCAAAGGTGCTTAAGGAAGCTAGAATGGAGCCTCCAATCCAAACATTGTACTTCCTCTCCGGCGGGGCAACCACTCTGACCTTCACCCCAGGAGGGGCCAGTGAGCTCAGCTCCTTAACCAACCTATCAGCCAAGCCAGGAATCACGGTCGTCCCTCCACTAAGCACCACATTCCCGAACAATTCTCTTCTGATGTCCATGTCACTTTTCTTGATTGACCTCACCAAAATCTCTTGAATACCACCTGATTCCACACCCACCCTACTAGGATCAAACAGAATCTCCGGGCACCTGAACCGCCCAGCTCCAACCGTTATCACTTGCCCGTCTGGTAATTCATATTGCCTGTCTAGCTCTGAGCTCTCACTCGATGTGGCAAGTTCTTTGTCAAAATCCATTGATACGTATGAAAGTCTTTCCTTAATGTCTCTCACAATTTCCCTCTCGGCTGAAGTGGTGAAAAAGTACCCATCTTCAGCCAGGATCTTGGTTAGGTAGTCCGTAAGGTCCTTCCCAGCAAGATCAAGCCTTTCAATGGCATGAGGGAGCGCGTAGCCCTCATAAATAGGAACTACATGAGTGACTCCTTCACCGGAGTCCATCACAACCCCTGCATAGAAACGTATTTGCATCATTCATTCAATGTTATTCCTTGATTGACAGCTTGTGTATCTCTACCAATTACCTGTAGTTCGGCCACTGGCATAGAGGGACAGCACCGCCTGAATGGCTACGTACGTTGCCGGAACATCAAAACCTTCAAACATGATTTCAATCATCTTTTCTCTGTTGATTTTGGGGTTGAGAGGGGCCTCTGTTAAGAGAACAGGGTGCTCTTCCGTGGTGATCCTGAGCTCCTTATCAAACGTGTGCTCCCAAAGTCTCTCCATTGCTTCCCAGTCTCTTACTATACCATGAGCGATGGGATAACATAGTTTCAAAACTCCTCGCCTTACCTGTGCTTCATCTCCAAAGTACATGTCCTTCTGTCCAAGTCCGATCATAGCATGTCTGTTTCGTGGTCGGCCTACTATGCTGGGGAAAAGCACAGACGGAGCATCATCGCCGGCAAAACCAGCCTGCATCAAAGAAAATTTTGTATTACAAAGTTAAAGATGATCTCAAAAATATGAGATTACAGGAGAAAGAGTAGATGGTCAGTTACTAACCTTGATAAAACCTGTTCCGTTGTCACATACTATCGGGCGGGTTTCCCAAAAACTCATTCCTGTGGCAAAGATGATTGAGATAGAACCTGAAGAATTTAATTGAGCTTGATAAATGCAGAAATTTAATTTTAACATGAGTTTCAGAATGCCTTACTTTCGGTTGCTTCTAGAGAATGACCCGGCATACTTGATAAGGTCATATTCCTTTTGTTTCATTCCAAAGAATAACACGCAATCAAATGACATTTCTTATCAACTAGGCTATAGTGAGATTCTAAAGCAAAGCCGGTGCATAATAATCATCCACTTTTGAATATTTTCCAGAAATTTCCAAATGGATCCAAAAGTTCTGATGTCAGATGTTGAACTTCAAACTCCATTATTTAAACTATCCAACAGTATTGATAATACATTTACCAAAAAAAAAATAAAAACGACGATAATACTTTCATTTTGAGGGAAGAAATAAAAGAAATTTTCTGGAAAGCACATGTCTATGATAGATAAATAAATGACTATTTTGTGAAGCATGTCAGAGAGTTAATATTACATCGCCAAAGAGGTGAGTGTGACAGAAGCTCAGTCCTGAAACTGCAGCTTCAAAACCGAACCAAGCCTAAATTGTAGGATATACATTTGAGGAACCATCAGCATACTCATATCTCATCCTGTAGTTACTCCTTGTTAAAATAACTCACAAAAGAAAGATAAGGTTGAGAATAAAGCTTGTTATTAAGTAATTTGAAACATCCAGCAACTATTGTTCATCGCTGAAACACTTTATTCACGAATCCTTGCAAGGAATTCCCCATTCCAACACCAACTGCTTCTGCCAAATACGTTGCCTGCAAACATGACAGTCCAATAAGGAAAAAGTGACTCCAATTTTCTCTCAAAAGAGTCAATATTGCAAAGATTTATGGAAACAAGAGCAAGCCAAGCTGGAAGAGAATACCTCTTTAATTGTTTTCTTCATATCAAACGCATCTTTCACTCGATCATCCAAGAATGCCCAAGTATCTCGAAAATCTGTTAGAAAAGAAATTCAGCCAATGCAAAGACCATTTAGAACATTGCATCACCACTTGTATGAACTTAAAGGAGACAGAGGTTTGCAATTAAGATATCCCCAGATGCTCAGTCAATTACCATGAATAAAGCTAACAAAGTAGTTTTAAAAAAAAATAATATATACTTTTGCAGACAAATAAAAGTTAAAGAAAATAAACCTGGGGAACGATCAGTCAGCATATAAATCTCGGTTGTTGAGTATATTCCTCCAAGGACAGTCCGTGTCACATACCAATTAATATCAGAAGCATCATCACCAGCAGCATGCCAGATCTCATCAATCAGCATGGCACGCTGCTTAAAACTTGTTGGAACATTCAATGGATGTGCCTGGGGATTGCTTTATTCAGTATCTATAGAGTTAAGGCTCTGAGAATGTAATGAAGTCAGCATTTCGACAAATAAAAAGACTTTACTTGGATGCTAAGAGCTTGGGGCCATTTTGATATGTAGGGTGCTTGCATTTCTAGGCGAACTCTGACAAGCACAGATATTTGCTGGCTTGGAATCAAGTTTTTTAAATCTTCTCCCAAATCAATTCTATCAATAAGCCTTTGTAAGCAGTCATCCATGAAAAACTGAAAATTGGGGAAAGACAACTCGAAGTCGCCATAAAAAAGGGTATACCATAGATAGTAAGGGCAGCTTGTGTTAAGAAACAAAATTATATACACGAGTAAAAGAGAGTTTAAACACATAAAATACCATTATGGACTGAAAAGAAATCAAGCACAAACCTTCGTTGAGATGATAGTAGATTAGAGGTTCACCATGAGTAATGAGTAAATATCATAATCAGATAAGGCCAAGCATTCAGCAACAGAAAAATGAGCTCTTTCTTGGAGCAAAAGCAGTTTTCAAAATAAAGAAGCAGTCTTTATGTTAGACTAAGAAGGATGAAGGGATCAATTTGCTATTTGCCAGATCTTTCATCAACATCTATGGCAAGAAAAGAAATCACATAAAACCCCCAAATGAACACGTCTCTACCAACAAAGAACAAATAAGCAAAAGTAAAGATATCAAACAGGAATGGCCAAAAAGAACCAAACCTTCCATACCTCTACTAGAGCAGCTTCTTTTCTTGGAAAAGATCCAACTATTGATGGAGAAACACCAACCTCTCTTGCACCTGCAATCATAGCTTCTTCACTCCATCCCAATCTCAACTGCAGAAGACAATCCACGCCCTCAACTTACAATAAGAATAGACACACTTTCTACATTCTTCCTAAGAAGCACTCAACAACCCATAAAACATTGAAAAGCCTGCCATTGATATTGATATTCAAATCTTTCCACTAATACAGAGTAAGATCTTTGATGCTCTATTCCAGGATAAATAAAAAGAACAAAAAACCCACAAAAATTTGCTGTGAAAATAACCAAACAGGTCCTAACAATGTGATGCCGGAGCTGGAATGATAGAGAAACGAAATAAGAATCATAAAAGCAAGAAGACTAATGAATGTACGCACCACGTGAGGAAGCGAGGCCTGAAGAACGCGAGCTTGCTCCTCCTGGTAATCAATTCCCGGTCTCTGCCTCTCGCTTCGTGTATGCTCCCCAGCCGTCGATGACGTCGACGAAGAAGACGATGAATATGAAGTTGAATCAGAAAGATTCGGGAATTCGTGTTGATTGGGATTCGAATCAGTGAACGGTTGAGGGTTTGCAGAAGGTCTAGCAATGGGTTTAAGATTAGGGAAACGGAGGAGATGGGCGTTGCCATTTCGGCGCAGTGAGGTGCCGAGGAAAAGCCTCTTCGCCGCCGTTCGATACATTCCGCCGGGACAGAGGGTTTCTGCAAGTGTGGGAGAAGAAGACAAGCTACAAATCCAAACAAGTTTTCCCGAGCGCCAGGTGGACGCCTTGGGAGTGCTGACGTGTTAACCCTCGAATTTTTTTAATAAAAAAATAATTTTTTTAATGGATTAAGGTAAATTATATAA